TGGCAGTCTCAACCCCAAAGCCTGTCCTGAAGCCGGTTTGAAATGGTTTGTCGGGATTTTATAAAACATTGTTCTTCTAGATAAGTTTTAGAAACATAGGAGGCAAATTGCTTTGCTATACAGTTGGCCCTTGACTTTCGTGGCATTATTTGATTATTTGCGAGGTCACTGCTGTGTGCGTGTGCACTTCTCCTCTCTCCCTCCCTTCCTCCCAGACTTTTCCCTTTGAGGAGGAAGCGCAGGAGGGAGGGAGCAGCCAGGAAGAGTGTGCCTTCCTTGTCCTTTAGTCAGCTTCCCTCATCTGGCTAAAGGATGGGGAAGGTGGGGGAAGTGTGGGCACACTCTCTTCCTCCCTCTGCCCTTTAGCTAGCTGAGCGAAGCCAGCTAATGGGCAGGAGGAGGAAGAGAAGCACAAAGTCTCCTCTAATAGATTATAGTATGTTTGTTTCTATATTTGATCTGTATTTCCTATTTCTCCCAAAGGCATTTGACAAAATTAACTAAGCTAACTTTAAAAATTCAGATAAAATCACAATGTTATCATATTAAAACAGTGAAACCAATTCTCATATTAAAACACAATTGAATTTAAGATATTTTAAAAACACATTCATAAAGTACAGATACAGTACAATGAAGCCCATTTCCCGGCATCCAGTTGCCCAAAGCGTGCTTGAATCAAAAGTCTGCCTAGAACTACAACAAAAAGTGGACCAGACTAGCTGCAGAGCCTGGAGGAGATACCCCCACTCAAAGCTATCTGTCATGTTTCTTTCAGACAGACTTTGATACTGATATTTCTGTAAAGCTGTATGTGTAAAGGCTTGCTTAATTTATCAATAATTAAGTAAACTCTTAAATGACCAATGTTAAATTAAACGGGAGGCCCTCCTTTTCCAAGCAAATTCCATAACATGTTTTGGCATGTTTATGCTGAACAACAGCATAAAAAGAATGTACTGCAAGCATCCTGTTTGGGCTAATATATTCAATATTTTCTGCCTTCCAAAGAACCTGCAGCTACTAAAGACAGATGGAAATAACCAGGTTCTTCTTTTTTCCTATATTCCATTATATTGCAGTGTAATTTGAGATCTGTTCCACTTTCCCAAGATACAAGATTAGTTCCATTTCTACAAACTTCCAAGTACTTATGAGGGTGCTTTCTGATAGAAGCCAGCTACTAGACATTCAAAAAGCATTGTGCATTCATTTACCTTTTTACTTAAAAGGCTTTTTTTCCCTGATAAGAAAAAAAAAAGATTAAAGAAGCACTAGGAAAACACAGGAGGACTACATTATAGACGAAGTCAACTAGCACTCTAAAACCCAAGATGCCAGTTGGAATTAACACTCTGCCTTCTCACAGAAGCCTATTATTTCTGCGAACTTAAGTTGGTGTCAGACCTGTATATGCAGGCGTAGAGCCCTTCAGAAAGAAAGAGACTAGTTTTTATTTTGTCCCTTTAAGATCCCAAATCTTAAAACAGTAAAATGATCAGATGTAGAATTCCCTCTATGAAATGGTAGCTTCAGCGTTCTTATAACATAAAGAGTTTGGTGACCTTAAAGTTCTGCAATATCACTGTTTAACTGTATGAATTTCCAAAAGTTTGTGAAAGTTAAAGTTTCTGATTGCTGTTAAACTGTTTTTCAGGTCCCAAAGGCAAGCAGCTTGAAGGAACAGAATGTCCCCTCCATGTAGTCCACCCACCTACTGGCGAGGAATTTGCACTAGGTTGTGGAGTCTGCAGAAATGCACATACTTTTTAGTCCATAGTTCTCTTATTTGCCAGAACAAAGCTGCTTTCATCCCATAAGTGTCCTGAGTTCAGCATAAACCACAATTAGAAAGAGTATGGGACCATTTCATAATCCAGAGAAAAGAAAAATTAAAGCGCGAGAAAGATGCCAAATACCATGTACATAATCCTTGCTATGGGAAACTGACATTTATGACCCAAGAAATCAAATCTTGTGAGGTGTTTGCATGTGGCCATTACGCGCATCAGCTACGAAGCATTGGACACTTACAAATAAATAGCTATCAAAGAAGCATTCAAGACTCTGTTTCCATGAACTCCAAAATGATGCTGGATATCAGATGAAGAAAAAGTTGATTATTGTATACTGACTTTTTTGTAATCCTGTACAATTGTAACTGCATCACGGGTAGGGGTGGAAAACAGAAGTGTTCTGGTTTATTTCTTAGACTGTTATTTAAAAAAAAAGTGTTAGGAAGGCATAAATGTAACCAGTATCACACTGTATATATAAGATCAATGTTTGTCCTGTATAAGAATTATTAAATTGTAAACAGCAGTTTCATTTAAACTTCTGGGTTATGTTTGAGCCTGAAATTTTAATGAAGTGCAATACTGAGTGTGCCTCATATCTTGCAGCTGTAAACATAATGGAATGTATATGTCAATAAAGCCGCTGTACATTTTTATACAGTGAAAGTCTAATGAATTTGTAAGACTTTTCTTTTGAAGCAGCTAAAATATGTCTTTTCATAAATGTTGAAACAATATCAGAATTTTATGTCAGCTTTAACAAAGTTAGAAAACAATTGCTTTTTTTGGTCCATTTTGACATGGCCTTTTAGCAAATAAAATTATCAATTTCCATCTTAAATGTAGCTAAGATAAGTTTAGTCTTACGTTCTTATATCATATGCCAAATTGGTGTGATCTGTAAAAGTTTTTTAAAGTGGAAAGAGTGATGAAATACCTGATGTATTAATGTACTCCTCCAGCCTCCAGTCATTTAAAAAATATATAACAGAAGAGACCATCAACTTGGGCAGTAACACTAGTGAATTCTAGGCTCACTTTTTTTACAAGCCTTTTTATTCATTTTTGATATGACAAAAAAAGCTGACTCTTCTGGAAAATATTGTTGAAAGAGTCCCCCAAAAAGATCTATCTTACTTGAAGTGATCCATGTTCCAGGTAACTTCATCGTCTGCCATATTCCTCTAAGGACTGTGTTTTTCCTGCATTCAGACGTGGGTATCACATACCCATTATCCAGTGAAAGGTCCATGGAGCTTTAGTATCTGACTATGTGAGCCTTTGTTAATCTTTTTCCCCCTAAAAGACATTGTGTGCCTGGGGCTTGTGCATAAAGCTAGAGATAGTTTTTAGGAGAACAATGTTGGTGTTTTTGCTTGCTACTCTGGTAAGAATTATTGCAAGGACAGCTGGTGGCTTCCATATTGGTGGAGTGGTGAATATACTCGAGATTGTAGTCCACACTTGAAAGAGCAATTTATGGCCTTTTCACTGTACACAATTACAGGTCAGTGATTCCACTTTAACTGCTGTGGCTGTCTTCTGTGGAATCCATGGATTGGTAGTTTGGTGAGGCATTAGAGCTCTCTGGCTGAGCATTCTCAATGCCCTTACCTAAACTACAGATTCCAGGAGTCCATAGGATGTGATGGCAGCTAAAGTGGAATCATAGCACTACAAATGTGTAGCATAAAATGGCCCTAAATTGAGCCACAGATTCATCACCTTGGGTAGCTCCCTTGAAATTCTGAGCCACCAGCTGCCACTGAATAATTGGCCATGACAGCTAACGCTGGTAACAGTTGGCATCATAATGTTTGGAGGGCCACATTTCCCAATCCTGTTGTAGAAGGAATCTTTCAAAAGCAATAATTTCTTTTTAAACCCAATTCTTGGAGATGATTTCTTGTCTTCCATGTTCAATTCTTCCTTTTAAGCTGAGAATCAAAACCACATTTGCTTTCCAGGGCAGTAGCATAGGTTTAACAGACTTGCTGTGTTGTGATAGCCTTCACATTCAGATATTGGGGAGCCAGAATTAGTAAATTCAACTCATGAGTTGGTTTGAAATGTATTCAGTGTGTAGTGGTTTGTGTGTCAGACTGCAACTCCGGAGACCAGGGTTCAAATCCCTGCTCAGCCATGGAAATCCATTAGGTGGCCTTGGGCAAGTCTTGCTCTCAACCTCAGAAAATCTTGTTATAAGTTTGCCTTAGGGTTGTTGTAAATGACTTGAAGGCACACAGCAATGCAACAGTTTCTTGACTCACAACAAAAGTAAGAATAATAATATGTTTTTAACAGTAGTGGTTTTCCTGAATTTAACTTTTCCTTTTGATAGGTTTCAGTCATTGTATTGCCATGATTTGTATTGCAAAATTATGCTGAATAAGAGTCATATGTACTGAAGCAAGGCTAGCCCAAGAAACTTTGCTCCCTATCACAGACAAATAGTGTTCCTCCCCTCGTTTGAAAGTGCAAAACCCAGGTGAGTCCTCCAAAATGATGGAAAAAAAACCCACAAGTTCCTGTTCCCCATTCTTGGCAAGTACAAATAAAATAATAAAGCAAACAACATATTATTTGCTACCTTTTCCTGACACCCCACATCTGTTGCCTAACGGTAATGCCAGGCTATGCCATTAAACATAAAATCATCAAAATTGCCCACCTTTGTTTTAATTGTACAACTCAGTGACATATACACATACACAAACCCAATTCCAGTCCAAAATACCAAGAGTACAGTAATAATCAGGATCAAATGGAATGGGAGGAGGAGGGGGAATGGAGGAGAATTGTCTTTAAATAGAACTCCATCTTTGTTAGAAATCCAGGGTACTATTTATTTTGTATCAAGACGGGTCATTGGAGGTGGTGATGTGATAACTACAATTGGATCAAAATAAATAAGCCTGTGAACAACTAAGGGAATATAAGGGCCTTTGCAGACTGCCAGAAATAGTGCAAATTGAGTCCACTTTTAGGGTTAGGGTTAGTGCTAGAGAATCATGGGAATTGTTGTTGCTTTTCCTGAGACACTGAGCCTTCTCTGTCAGAGAGCTCTGGTGCCACAATAAAATACACTTCCCATGATTCCCTAACCCTTAAAGTGGACTCAATCTGCACTATTTTTGGCAGTCTGCAAAGGCTCTAAGTTATGTATAGGGTATTCAGTTACATAATAAACAAATGAGGATGCTTATTCCTGTAAGATGCATTTTTTCAGTTTGCATGCTGTAATTGCTTTGTAAAGATTTAGTAAGCATTCTGGTGTATAATGTAGAAAATCTAAATGACATTTTGTCCTCCCTCCCTCCCCTCACACAATGGTTACCAGACAAAGTTTCCAAAGAAACTCCCCTGCAAAGCTCTCATTCATTTCAATGCAATCTTTTCCTTGAATTGCTTATTCGGTGCACTCCAAAACTTCAGCATGTTTTTAGGAGAGGAATAGGTCACCGGGCATTAAGTCAAATGAACATGGAAAGAGTACTTTTGAGTGATTATGAAACTTCTGTGGGAATTCAAAGCTAAAAAAGTTACTTAAAATATGTGGGGTCCATTAAAGGTTCAGTAAATACTAGTAAAATGTTGCACAGAGACAGGTTTGAATGTGTACAATATAGAAATCATTAGCAATGTGGGAGACCATTTTAATGGGCTCAAAATAGCTCTTGAGGCTCCAAGAAGAACGCCAAACTAAGTAATATCCCAGAATCGCTACTTTTTCCCAGGGACCCAAGACACCTTTATTTGACACCAGTACAATAGTCCTTCCAGACTTGCTAGTGCATGTTGCCTAACCTGGAGTGGCTAACCAGGCAGGAGTCTTGGGTCTGCAACTGGTCAGTTTCTTACTGTGCCACGAGAACCCATCAGAGACGTGAATTGCTGGCTTGTTTCACCCTTGCCACTTCTTACAAAAACCAGATAATAAATCCAGGTTTTATTCTACATCGCTTGTGAGGAAGAAAGAAAAGACAGAGAACCAGCTCCTGCCAGGTTTACAATGGAGATGATGAGGCCATGTCCCAGGACACTGATTGTCTAGAACAGGGGTCAGCAACCTTTTTTACTGGCGGGCCAGGAGGGGGGGAAATGGCGCTGGGGGCCGGCATGTGCGTACATGCGCATGACTCCCACCGTTGTGCGCATGCGTGCGTGTGGGGGGGCGCCATTTTGGAAACCATGACGGTGGGGCGCCATTTTGGCAGGAACGGGGGTCCCTCAGGAAGGCTCCCTCGACCGTGCCAGGCCTCGGAAAGGCCTGGCACGGCCGCGAGGGTCCCCCAGGAGGGTTCCCTCGGCCGTGCCTCGGAGAGGCCCAGCGCAGCCATGGGGGTCCTCCGGGGCGCCATTTTGTGTTCCAAAATGGTGCCCGGAGTCTCACGTGACCTTTCCCATCCAGAACACAAAATGGCGCCCCGGAGGACCCCCCACAGCCGTGAAAGGTGGCAGCGGTGGCAGGCCTTGGTGGGCCGGGTGCGGCCCACAGGCCGTAGGTTGCCGACCCTTGGTCTAGAAGATGCAGAAGAGCAATCCACATCATGTGGGTTGTTTCCTCTTGTGTCCACTGAAATAGCAATATTTTTTTTTAATTTAAAACATTAAAATTGAAGTGAATACCAATATCTCAATAAGCCAGGGTCCTCATATTTAGAATCATCAATTTAATGTTAAATTTGAAACTTGTAAAATTGGGCAGAAATTGGTAAAATGAAATTCAATAAGGACAAATGCAAAATTCTACTTTTAGGTCACAAAAACCAAATGCACAGGTATAGGATACATGTCTCAGCTGTACAGGTAAAACTTCCCAACTGTAGCCTAAATGAAAGAGTGTTACATTTATTGGAAGTAAAAACCTCAAAAAAATTGAGAATCACACCCAGTCCATTGCTCCCTATTTTAAAGTGACTGACATGAGATGAATAATTTGCATTCCCTGCGTTATATTGCTCTGGCTGATAATTTTTACTGTATATTTTGTCTACTGACCTTATATGATGAGATGAAGCGTGGTATAAAAGCATTTCTGGTCATTAAAAAAAAGGGGGGGACTGAATATTTGTCAGTCTCCTCTCTCTCCCTGGAGATGGGAGAATAGCTGTTGCTTTCTGAGAGCCACACCAAATGTTTCATTATTAATATATTATTATATGTATTATGTATTATACAGTGGTCCATCCACATTCGCTAGAGTTAGGAGTGAAGGACTCCTGTGAATGTGGAAAACTGCAAATAAAAAACCACAATTCTTTGTACTGAGGGAACACCTCTTTAGGAACCTCCAAGTCCTCCAGTGTACCTCTGTGGTTAACATCTGCCAGAGGTTGATCATAGAATCACGCTGGAAGACCTACAAATGCCTAGAGAAGTGTTTTAGGTCTTCTAGGTCTTCCAATGCAACTCTATGGCTAATTTCTGGCAGAGTTGCGCTGGAGGATCCAGAGATTCCTAGGGAGAACATATTAAAGTGCAAATAATCAAATCCAAAAAAATCAAAAAATAATCAAATAAAGAAATCAAAGCTGCAAATGTGGAGGCCCAACTGTATAACAGCTTTGACTTTTGTGGATTTGATTATTTCCAAAATAATTATTTTGTTTACTAATTATTAATATTAGTGTATTATTAATATTAGTGTATTATATTGATAGAAAGGTGGGATATTATTATTATTGATGTATTGTCATTAAGAAGAAAAACAAAAGGGAGATAGGAACAAACTAAGAATTGTGACTGCAATAGTACAAAAGCTTGTGCAGAAAGATAAAAAAATTACTACAACAAGAAATAGAAGACAACAACAAAAAGGGAAGAACAAGAGATCTATTTCACAAGATCTGAGAAATGAAAGAAAAATTCAAACCAAGGACTGGGATGATCTATGACAATAAAAATAACATAATTCAATACCAGGAAGGAATAAAAAGACATTAGATGCAATACACAGAAGAATTGTACAAAAGAGATGACAAAATGAAGGACACATGGAATGAAGTGCCATATGAAGATGAAACCCAAATCCTAAAAGGCGAGGTGGAAAATGCAATAAGAGAAATAGTGAAAAAGAAATATCCAACAACAGATGATGTTCCAATTGAACTGTTGCAATCCACATTGCCAGAGTCAACTTTAGTGCTAACCAACATATGCCAACAGATATGGAAAACAAAACGATGGCCAACAGATTGGAAGTAATCAATATACATCCCCATCCGCAAAAAGGGAGACACAAGACACTGCATCAACTATAGGACCATAGCACTGATCTCCCACACAAGCAAAATCATGCTCAAAATTCTGCAACATAGACTCCAATCATACATGGAGAGAGAGATTCCAGAATTCCAATCAGGGTTCAGGAAAGGAAGCGGCACTAGGGACTACATTGCAAACATATGATGGCTAATGGAGCACACTAAGGAATTCTAAAAGAAAATCAGCATGTGCTTTATAGACTATAGCAAAGCCTTTGACTGCATAGATCATGAAAGGTTAAGACATGAGAGTGCCAACACATCTGATAGTCCTGATGAGAAATCTATACTCGAGACAAGAGGCTACTGTCAGAACAGAACATGGAGAAACAGAATGGTTCCCATTTGGCAAAGGGGTCAGACAAGGATGTATTCTTTCACTCTATCTGTTCAACTTGTATGCAGAACATATTATAAGAAAAGCAGGCTTGGACACAGAAGAAGGATGAGTGAAAATAGGAGAAAGGAATATCAACATGCTTTCCGCTAGTATTATGGTGTCATTTACATAACCTAGGGCTTTTACAGATTGCCAGAAATAATGCAGCTTGAGACCACTTTAACTGTTCTGGCTCAGTGCTAATGAATCATGGAAACTGTTGTTTTTTTCTGAGACATTGAGCCTTCTCTGGGAGCTGTGGTTCCACAATAAACTACAGTTCCCATGATTCCCTAGCACTGAGCCAGGGCCATTAAAGTGGACTCAAGCTACATTATTTCTGGCATTCTGTAAAGGCCCTAAGATATGCAGATGATACCATAATACTAGCAGAAAGCATCACAGACCTGGAACACCTACTAAGGAAGATCAAAAAAGAAAGTGCAAAGGCAGGCTTAATGTTGAACATAAAGAAAACAAAAATAATGACCACCCAGG